ATTATTGTGATATTGTTATTCTGTTATGTGTGTATGAGTTTAAATTTATGATTTAATTTAGAGTCTAAATGGGATGATTTTCTGTTTGGATTTACATGTTATGATAAATTTGACAAAGACATTAATAATAATAACCTAAGGAAAGTAAAATGTCTGTGATTGCAATTATTTTATTTATAAATATTTGTAATGGTTCTGAGTGAGGATTGAATAAAAAAAAAATTAAAAAATTAATGACTGACTAAGAAAAGAGCAGTGATGTTAGACTTATCTAGGATGGTTTAAAAAATGTCTAAAAACAAAAGACTGGATTAAAATAGATCAATCTTGATAATCTAGTGTACAATAAGCGGGAACGTAAGCAAACTGGCGGTTCAAGTATTTAGTACTTTTTAAAGTCTTAGCAATTCAAGCTATTCCATAAATTTAATAGAAAAAAGTCATTTAGAATAAGCAAAGTTATAAAAAGAAGAATGTTGAACTGTAGACTCCTCCTCGTGAAGAAGTTCAGCAAGTTCAAGAACCAACTTTGATCAAATAATAAACAATATCATACCAATAATTGGTCTTTGAATCTGATAACTCATCAGATTTTGATCCAAAAATAAAAGCCAAGAAGTCCAAAAAGTTTAAAAGAACACATAAACGTTTAGATATTGAAGATTCATCAGATGAAGAATAATATAAAAGAAGACTTATATTGAAAAGAGTAAATAAAATATTCAAGAAATCTTATGAATAAAAATAGATCTTAGCTTAAGGAAGTGAATAAGAAAATCTTGTAAAAGAACTATTCAAAAATGTTTATGTAAAGATATTTTAAGGTATTATATGATCATATCTAATAGATATTCCCATATCTGCAGCAGAACTTAAATAATTATCAAATCCAAATCCAGAATATTCAACTGGATAAATAAGTGAAGGCAAATAATAGGATGAAGAGATGAAACCAGAAGAAGAGTAAATTCGTATTCTAACAGAAGATGGAACAGATTTTGAAACTAAAAGAAATTTAAAATTATTAGGAATTGAAAATTAAGAAATTCTATCTAAATTGGGGGAAGTTAAGTCTTATATTAATTGTGATATAAGATATTTTAATTTAGACTTTTTAGTTGAAAAAGTGGGTGGATTTGATGGTATTAAATATTAATATTCTATTAAGTTGTTTTGATGGATCCACCTTGGAGAATTAAAGGAGGTTAATAGAATGATTCATCATTTATGTTTACTAATAGTAAATTCTCACTTGATTACAATACAATGAGTAATTAAGAGATTATGGATATTAAAATTGAGAAATTGAGTAAAAAAGGATTTTTGTTTCTTTGGATTTTAAATACATAATTAAATATAGCATATGAAATGGCTAGTAAATGGGGATATGAGATTGTAGATCAAATTATTTGGGTTAAATTAAATCCTTAAGGAAATAATGTGTATCTTTCTACAGGATATTATTTTATGCATTCTTTTGAAATATGTTTAGTTGGGTATTATATTATTGAATATTTAATAGATATAAATGTCCTCCAGGAGAACATGTAGAATATCATTCTAAAATATCTAATAATATAATTTTCAGTCCAGTAAGAAATAAATCATAGAAACCTATAGAGATGTATGAAATTATAGAATTAATGATGCCTGGAGCTAAAAAAGTTGAAATATTTGCTAGAAACAATAATCTTAGACATGGATGGTTTTCTATAGGTAATTAATTAGGAGAAACATATTAAAAATGGTTAGTTTAAATAAGTTGCAATATATGTAGTATTGCATTGTAACCTGGAATATGTAGATACAAATCAAAAAAAATAGCTAATTTTGATATTTGTTAAGAATGTTATAATAAAAAGATAAATGAAGGAGAATTAAATGAGAATGAAATGTTCTTTTTAGCTAATAAGGCTGAAGAAGAAGTGTTACATTAATATCATTAATGTAATAGATGTGATTAAAATCCTATTTGGGGTCCAAGATTTGAATGTATAACATGTGATAATTATGATTGTTGTGAAGCATGTTTTGATATTTTACTTTAATCAGGAGATTCAACTCATAAAGATCATGATTTTAAGGTTATTGAATTACCTACTTTTGCTGAAGGTATACCATGTCATGATGCAAAATGTAATGGATGTTTTTAGAAACCTATTTTAGGTGTTTAATTCATTTGCAAATAATGTACTAATTTTAGTTTATGTAATAATATTTATATATTATTTAGGTTAAAATTGTTTTTTTTCTAGATCTTAATCTGAATTAAATGGTCCAAGACATAAAGCAGATCATCGATTTGAACCAATATATGAAGTTTAGAATTTCTCAAAGAAAACTTATAAATGTTAAGGATGTGAATTAGAAAAAGGAGGATGTGTTTATAAATGTGAAAATTGTTTTGGATTTTATTTTTGTGAAGAATGTTATGCTTTTAAGAAAGATGATTGGAAATGTTATGTTGCTACAAGTCATAAAAATTATCATACATTTATAAAGATATGATATTATAAATTATTAATCAAATTTTAATATTTAATTTCCAAATTCCTGTGATAGTATTAAGATTTGTATAATAAGTACTAATTGAAAAATATATACATTTACCCTCTTCCATTTGCTTTTCCTAATTGAAACATACCATGAAATCTAGAATTATCACTAAATGTCCATATTCCATATCCATGAAATAATCCATCCTAAAATTCTCCTTAATAACTAATCCACTTATTTCCAATTTTATCAAGATTATTCACATCTATCATTCCTTCTTCAATATTTTCATTATTTAAATGTCCAAACCCATTAAAATTATCATCTTTCCAAAATCCTAAATTTAATTAATTTCATTATTACCCATATATAATTTCTTATCTCCTTTTCTAAGATTACCATATCCTTATTTCTTATCATTTAATATAGATCCAAAATAAGTTGTGTCATCTAAAAGTTAGATTTTATGATTATTGGATAATTATAGATTTTTAGGAGATTATTAAGAACTATTAGTACTACTGTTTACAATTACTAATTTATTACCATTTGGTGAGGAACATACTTCATGGAACGAATTTGTATGTCTTCTTCCAGGTTTATTAAATTAATTCAAATTAATATTCAAAGTTTAATTTGTTTATTTATTAATCTTTTATTATTTTTCTACTATTTATTCTAATTATTATATTTTCAATTATTAACATTATAAAGTTTTAACATATTCCTCTAATTAATTTCTTTATTAATTTATTTATTCATTTAAATTTTTAGTACTCTTTTATTATTTATCATATTCATCTTTTATACTACTATTTTCTAATTCTAATTCTAGTATTTTTATACGTAATTATTTTATTTAATCATATTAATCTAATAATTTAGATTCTTATATCTCTAATTTATCTTTAAGAAGATCATTTTAATCAGTTAGTTCTTCAATTTTATTTTATAAGTCTTTTACATTAATATGCAAATCTTCAAAATGTGGAGATGTAGCTGATATTCTTGAAATAGGAGAACATAAAGTTAGATTCATTTTAAAATTTAAATGTTCCAATGCTTTCTACATTTATCATAACACATACTTTTAAAACTTTTTATTATAAAATAAATCTATTTCTATATTCATCTTCTTGTTCATCAAATGTAAAATGTTTTTCATTACATTAATTAAATGGTATATCATTTAAATAATTCTTAACAATATTTACTAATTCATCTGCCATTTGATTTACTTAATCCAATTACTCATAAGATGAAATTGTTTTGCAACAAAAACTATTTTATAGAGATAACGCATTGAAATTAAATTGGTTTTCTATTTCTTGATATACATTTGTAGTCTAAATTCCCTATTATCTATCTTAGAAATCCATTTGGCCCTTCAAATTAGGAGAAAGTTATGAAGTCTCTCCAATTAAATCCTCCTACACTTTTTCAGGTATTGGGATGGAACGTTGTCTCCTGTATTTTTATTAGGTAATATTTGCAGTTCTACTTGAATACCTTTACTTTAATACTTATCTGTTGGTTCAGAGAAACGAACCTGTTTGTAGCTTGTATAAGATTGATTATCTTCTGGAATGTAATATGATATTACTTCCTCATCAGGAATACAATTCTCACAACCTGAATTAGGAGGAGAAGAGAATGATACTGTTAATTTAGATTCTTTGAAGTATTGTTCTTTCTATTCTGGGCTTTCTGCTTATTAGAAGATAAATCATACAAACATCAATAGATACAGTCTTGCGAAATATCACCTATGGTGCTTTAAGTGTATTACCTACAAAAAACCTAGTTCCATCACAACACATACCTTATTCTTGCATAATTATATAATATAAATTATGCCAACCAAATTAAATCAAATTCATGACAGAAATATTTAGAGTCTCACACAATAAATCATCATGTCGGTTCATCAAAACATTGACTCATTAATACAATAGACTCTAATAATATACATATCAATTAAATGAGTACAAATATTATATACATCCATAATTGAATATTACTATGAATTTACTATTATCAAAGTTATACATCCATTAAATGGATACAAATTCTAAGAGATTCAACTAAAAAGTCATAATATATTGCATAAAAGATAAAACTAATTAATATGATTTAAAATATTATAGATAAAATGATAGAGAAACTACTTATAAAAAATATAAACTAACAGAGTTCATCTTGAAAATGATATTTACTTATTGATTTTTATAATACAATTCTATCATTAAATCAAAATACCTTTAAAGAATTTCAAGTAAACTATAACTTATACTTAGAATTAACTTACTATATTTAAATTTGATTCTATATATCATTTAACTTATTAATATTAAAACAACTAAAGATTTATTAATTTAATACTATCTAATTTCTTCTTTAATGATTTTATTTCATTTATATTCATATTCCCTCATTATTTAAGTATGATAAAGAAAAACCTAATATCTATCATTTATAATTAATATTATAAAAGAAATAATTTGATGTTGAAAAAGAAAGGTTCTGAATAATTAGATATCATATTTGAGGCAGGTGAAGATCTTTTGAACTTCTCTAAAAATTAAGTCATCATGATCAAGAATAATTCTATCAAGCTTCCCATTATTAAACCAAGAACATTTTTATCATATAGTTTTGAATTCTGTGGGATTACAGGTCTCAATTACAAGATGCTCAGATTTTAATCCTTAGGCAGAGATATTAGAGTATATTTAAAATTTTATTATAAGCCTGAAACTAGTATAATGACTTCATGTTTAGTCAAGGTAATACATACAACAGAGTTTTCATAAATGGCATAAAATCCTTTAAAAACTTCATTCTAAGGGTTGTTTATACAAGGTAGTCATAGTGATATCCTGCTTTAAATTAATAAAGAAGATGTATTATGATTTGTTAATTCAAAGCCAATATCTTTGCATAAATGTATTTTGGCTTGTAGATCACCAAAATTTAATGGGATGTTTTCTTCAAATATGAGTGAAAGTAATTAAACTTTAGTTAAGGTCGAATATAGCAAACCTGAATTATTTAAAGTCATGTTATAATGGATATATTGCGGGTATTGGAAAGAAGTACTTTTATGTTTTTATTTTAATTCAGTTCCCAGAAGAGATAGAAGATACTTGTGATTTAATGTTACTAGCTGATGAATATTTAATTACAGACTTAAAATAAAAATGTGAAGAAGATATCATTTCAAAATTGGATAGTAGCAATATTTTATATATATTGTTATTTGTAGAAAAACACTCAAATATTATATCTCAACCTCTTTTAGAAAAAACTAATTCTATGTTTATAGATGAATTTGATAAGATCCATAAATTAAATCCTAATTTAGAATAAGAAATAACAAGAATGCCTGGTTTGATGACAAAGTTATTTAAAAATTTACATCAAAAAAAAATAAGGAAAGGAAGAAAAGTTCATTTTGTGGTTGATGATTTTGAAGAATCAGATTCAGATGACTATGTTAGAAATTATACACAATATTTCTACTAATGATTATAGCAAAATATTTCTTATCTTTTTTTAATTTATATACAATCTGCTTGAATTATATTAATTATAAACAAAAAAAAGAATATAAAAAAATAATTATATCTCAAAGAATTATTTATTAATAATTCTACCTTTTTATTATTATTATTTATTTTCATATAGACAATTTATGAAAATCAGATATATTGTTTTTATATGATAAAATAAGATGTTGTTATGTTATTAAAATGTAATTAGAATATAATATAATCAAAATATCTAGAAATAATATTTATATCTTAGATAGATGCTAAACTTCATTAGTTAAACTTTTGGTTTATTAATAACAAAGTTGATGTGGCCGAGTTGGTCTAAGGCGTTGGATTTAGGCTCCAATCCGAAAGGGCGCGAGTTCAAATCTCGCTGTCAACATAATTTTTTATTTAAAAATTACATTATTTTTTTCACAAAAAAAATGATTTAGCTAATTTAATGAAATATTCTATGTTGTAATAATTGAAATTTATATTTATTCTAATTTTAATCATTCAAATCTAAATGCATTACTTAAGAAATATAATTATTCATTTTCATATTCAACTTACAATTATTTATAATCATATTTTATATTAACAAATATCAATACTAAAATATCATTTATTATTTATCAATAAAAGTTTAACATTAAAAGATTACTACATAAAATAATAAATAATTTATTTATAAAATGCAAGTTTCTTGTAGAACCAAAAATGTTAATAAGTACTATAAAGTAATAGGAGAAGTTGGATCTGGTACTTATGGTAAAGTGTATAAGGCAAAATGTCTAAAAACTAATGATTTTGTGGCTCTTAAGAAAATTGATACTAAGGATTAAAAAATAATGGCTGAAGGTATTATTGTAAAACATATTTTTAAGGATTTCCAATCACTGCAATAAGAGAGATCAAATTATTGAAAATTATGAATCATAAAAATATTTTAAGATTAAGAGAGATAATTATTAGCAAAGCCTCTTTTAGAAATAATTTTAGAGGATCTACCTTTTTAGTTTTTGACTATTATGATCATGATTTTGCAGGTCTTCATAGATTAAGAAATATCTTTACACTACCACAAATTAAATGCATTTTTAAATAGCTTTTAGAGGGAGTTAAATATCTTCATGAAAGCAAAATTATTCATCGGGATTTGAAATGTGCCAACATTCTTATGAATAATAAGGGATAAGTGACTCTTGCTGATTTTGGTTTAGCTAGAACATTATCAAATGTGAATAATCCAAAATATACTTATAAAGTAGTGACTTTATGGTATAGAGCCCCTGAATTGCTTTTAGGTTAAACTAATTATAACACTTAAATTGATATGTGGAGTCTTGGTTGTATTTTTGCTGAGTTGATTACAGGAGAAGTACTTTTCAAAGGAGATATTGAGTTTAGATAAATGGAAAGGATATATGAATTGTGTGGGAGTGCTACAGAATAAAATTGGTCTAATTGTGTTAATTTGAGATAATGGGAAGAGTTTAAACCAAGAAGAAATTATGAAAGATTATTGGTTAAACATATTAAAGATGTTTGTCAAGCACTAAATAAATAAATAGATTAAGTGACTTTAGATTTAATAGATCATCTTCTAATCTTAGATCCAAATAAAAGGTTAAATGCAGTTTAAGCTTTGAATCATGATTTTTTCAAATAGGAACCTAAAGCATGTTAACCTAATGAAATGCCCTAATTTGAAAAGGAATTCCATGAAACACTATTAAAGAATGAAATGAGATTACAATAACAAAGAATTGAAAAACAATAAATGAGACCATCATCTAATACTACATAGAAACTATAAAAGGTTGTGAGAGATGAGAGAAATATTTCTAAGCCTTAATAGTCTTCTCCATTAAGAGATCAAAGAAATAAACAAGAAATAGATTTTGAAGAAATAATAAAATTTGAACTTGCTGAAGAAAAGAAAAAAGTAAAATTAAATTGAATATGATTTCTATATATCAAATTAATGTGGTGCTGTTCCAATGTGTAACAATTTTGAAATATTGTCAATCTCATAATTAGAGGAGACAGTTATAATCAAAATTATTCTCAAGAAAGTTTAATTAATTAAATTTCATAATTAGTTCTTTTTAACAATATTTTAATTCACATTATAAACCAAAGTTGAGCATATATGTTTATGTATTTTCAAAAATTATTAATTAAGAAATTCTAATTTTGTATTAAAAATCATCAAATATCTAGTATTATAATATTTACAGTAAAAATATAGAATAATTTCCTATTTACTTAAATTATCATATTATATTATGTAAATAATAAAAACTATAAATATACATATATTATGAATAGTTATAATATAAATATAAAACCAATTTAAACCATCATTTATTATGATAATTTTTAATTTTAAAGTTCAAATAATAATCATTTTATAAACATATGGTATTTCAATCATTTTTTGCAAAATACACTTATTTTTATGTTGAATCAAATTACTATTTAATAAATACCTTATAATATACTTTTAAATAAAATAGTATAATTTAATAAAAAATAAGTTATTTATTAAAATCTATTAATAATCTGGAAATTTCTTTCATAGTTTTAACCTATATATGCTTATAGAATTCTATAAGAATAGTCTACCACTTTGAATTTAGATAGGTTTTTTTCTATTATTATTTCATTTTAGTTTACAAATGATCTTTTTTTTATGACTATGGAAAATAATATTATTTGATAAATTTGAAATATTTAATATATATTATTCATATTCATTTTCAATATTCTGGTTTTTATTAGGGTAAATATCTTTCAGTAAAATTATTATCTAATTATTTTTTCTCATCCTTTTGAATTTCCTCTTAATAATTTTTTCTTGTCTCTTTAATATCTCCCTTAAAACAAAATTTTTGTTTTTTCTTACACCACCAAATCATAAAGCAAGTAAATATACAAAATATAGGAATAGTTATACCAAGAACAATCAACAAAATCTATGAACTTTCTTCTTCTTTTAATAAACTACATTTTACGCAATCATAATTTTCAGACCAGCTGTATGTGAAATAAGTTTTAATTTAACAATCATCTTTAGAAAAATTATATAGATTATTTTCTTAAACTTCTTAACATGAATTATTTGACCAAAAACAAGTTGTTATAAATGTTTAATTTGTCAAAGTATATTAACATTCTTGTTCTAATTTTATGTCAGTACATTACTTCTCTTTACATATATTATTTTCATATATGCAATTATTTATTTTGCAGTAACTCTAAGAATCATAATATTAAGGACATATCAATTTTGAGTTATCAAATAATTTACATTACCCAAAATCATTTAAATAACATGATAGTCCTTTTCCATTAAAGGTAGAATTACATTAATCTTAAGGTATAGCTGAGCAATTTAATTCATTTGTTGGATATGAACAAGTACCATTTATAAATGAGCATTTTTAAATTGGGCACTATTTATCAATTAAACAATCAAATTTCTTACATGATTCACTACTTGTCCATGAGCAACTAAAATTATTAATGTTAGAATTGAGGCAATCAGATTTTTCACTTATATCATCACAATTTTAATAATCAAAGTCTTCACATTCTTCAAATTTCTAATTCCATTTGCACTAATAATTGGTTTAATCTCCATAACAAAGAGTTTAATTCAAATTATGACATTGCAAATCTTGACAAAATTCTCCATTCCATGAACATTTAATAAAATGATCGCAGATTTTGTAAGAGTACTCTGAACAAGGACATTAAGATGCTAAATAATGAATTTTTAATCAAAATGCTAAGTAGCAACTTACTATAACTATTAGGAATACCATGAATTACAAAAAATTTATTTAAAGAAGATGTAAATGACAATAATATATTTTTAGATTATTAATTCAAAAAGATATTTTGCTAAAAATTATGAATTAATTATGAATATATAATTATATAACAAATATTTAATGAGACATTTCATCAAATAGTTTTCAGAATAATCCATAGTTCCTTCATTATCAAATTTTATAAGAATACCTAATTTGAGTCCATAGTTTGATAATTAATGGTAATAAAATAAATTACTTGAAGAAGCTTGTAATCATATTATTAAATGGATTGAAAATGAAACTATTGAAATACAAAAAGAAATCTAAATATTGTAAATACCAAATTCTCCAAATTGTATTTCTATTAAAATATTTGGAAATTAAAAACAAAATAAAACAATTTTATGTTATGGACATTATGATAAATAACCTCATTTTTTTGGTTGGAAATACGGTCCAACTACTCCAATCATTGAGAACAATAGACTTNTTATATAGATTATTTTCTTAAACTTCTTAACATGAATTATTTGACCAAAAACAAGTTGTTATAAATGTTTAATTTGTCAAAGTATATTAACATTCTTGTTCTAATTTTATGTCAGTACATTACTTCTCTTTACATATATTATTTTCATATATGCAATTATTTATTTTGCAGTAACTCTAAGAATCATAATATTAAGGACATATCAATTTTGAGTTATCAAATAATTTACATTACCCAAAATCATTTAAATAACATGATAGTCCTTTTCCATTAAAGGTAGAATTACATTAATCTTAAGGTATAGCTGAGCAATTTAATTCATTTGTTGGATATGAACAAGTACCATTTATAAATGAGCATTTTTAAATTGGGCACTATTTATCAATTAAACAATCAAATTTCTTACATGATTCACTACTTGTCCATGAGCAACTAAAATTATTAATGTTAGAATTGAGGCAATCAGATTTTTCACTTATATCATCACAATTTTAATAATCAAAGTCTTCACATTCTTCAAATTTCTAATTCCATTTGCACTAATAATTGGTTTAATCTCCATAACAAAGAGTTTAATTCAAATTATGACATTGCAAATCTTGACAAAATTCTCCATTCCATGAACATTTAATAAAATGATCGCAGATTTTGTAAGAGTACTCTGAACAAGGACATTAAGATGCTAAATAATGAATTTTTAATCAAAATGCTAAGTAGCAACTTACTATAACTATTAGGAATACCATGAATTACAAAAAATTTATTTAAAGAAGATGTAAATGACAATAATATATTTTTAGATTATTAATTCAAAAAGATATTTTGCTAAAAATTATGAATTAATTATGAATATATAATTATATAACAAATATTTAATGAGACATTTCATCAAATAGTTTTCAGAATAATCCATAGTTCCTTCATTATCAAATTTTATAAGAATACCTAATTTGAGTCCATAGTTTGATAATTAATGGTAATAAAATAAATTACTTGAAGAAGCTTGTAATCATATTATTAAATGGATTGAAAATGAAACTATTGAAATACAAAAAGAAATCTAAATATTGTAAATACCAAATTCTCCAAATTGTATTTCTATTAAAATATTTGGAAATTAAAAACAAAATAAAACAATTTTATGTTATGGACATTATGATAAATAACCTCATTTTTTTGGTTGGAAATACGGTCCAACTACTCCAATCATTGAGAACAATAGACTTTATGGAAGAGGATCCGCAGATGATGGTTGTGTACCTTATGCAATTATTGCAGCAATTAAAACATTAAAAGAATTCAAATAAAATTATCATGATTGTTATCTAATTGTAGAAGGAGAGGAGGAAAGTGGAAGTCATTAATTAATTTAATACATAAAAATGTTAAATATATCAAAAATAGATCTTATGATAGCAATAGATTCAGGAATTGTTGATTATGATAGATTATGGATTACTAATTCAATGAGAGGAGCAATTACATTTGATATTAAAGTATTCTAAACTATTAATCCATTCTAATATTTAAGAATTTTGTTAAATAAATTAGAAGATTCACTAACAGGAGAAGTCAATTCACAATTTTAAACTATTATACCAAAAAGTAGTCTTGATGAATGTTAAACAACAGCTTAGCTTGTGCCTCTAGAATTTGCAATGACTTGCGAAAAAATGGAATCTGATCATGTTTAATAATATATCAATAGAGCTTGGAAACCATCTGTATCTTATATAGGTGGTTTAGAAGATTTGAATTAAGATAATGATGAATTAACAATAAGAATTTCTATGAGATTACCTCCAAATAAGGATGCTTAAGAGGCTTCTCAATAACTAGTACAATTATTAACAACTTAATGGAGTTAAGTTGAAATTATATAAGCAAAAACAGGTTTAGCTGTAAATTCATTTAGTAAAGAACTTAAAAATGTTTTGAATGAGGCTTCAATAGAATATTTTGGAAATGAAATGAGAATGTTTCATGAGGGAGCATCAATTCCATTTTTAAATTCTTTATATTAATTATATCCTGAATCTGAATTTTTAATATTAGGAGTTCTTGCTCCTGATTCAAATGCACATGGTCCAAATGAAAATTTAAATATTGAATATTTCAATAAATTAATAGGTTGTTTGACTTATATATTCACAAGTTAAAACATTTGATTAGAATTTCTCACTGTAATTTTATTATTATTTATAAGAATTACTAATTAATTTAAAGTTAGAAATTTACTGTGATTAATTTTCTTTTTTTAACATAATATATTTGTTATATATATATATATATCGCAACTTTCTTCATTGTAAATCTCTGAATCTTATTTTTTATATCTTGTTAAATGTATTTTTTTAAAACGAAATGCCTTTTTATTAATCTAAATTTACTTTAAAAATAACAAATGATCTAAATGTTTTTTCATTCCTATAATAATAAACAAAAATAAAGATAATTTCAGATTATGATATTTTAAGAATACAAATTGATTATGATTCAATTCCAAAATGAAAATGATAAGAATAAAAATGAATTATATTTTCATCACTCCAACATATTAAGAAATTTTTTATTTAAATTTTTTGACAATGGAGATAACTTCTTATCTTTAAAGTCTTCTTTTAATTCTTCAACGGGTTCTTCATCAATATTAAGTAATATGTGACTTTCATACTTAACTTCTTATGAAGGTTTCGAGAACAAAACTTTAGAAGTATTACTTGTCTATGATCTAATATAATTGCTCTTTATTCCTTATTAAATTTCTTTTTCACTTTGCTACTTTGCACAGCATGAACTCCCCATTTTATAATTAAATATTATGAAATAATAATTAGAGTTCTTTTTAAAATTACAATAAGCTTTGAATTACCTTATTGACAATACTCTAAACACATTAAACCCCCATTAATTTATAAAAATATGGAAAGAAATAAATACAATAAGAGAGTGTTGAATTACAAATTAAAGCCAATTAAGGGAAAGATTTCACATGAAATAAAGAGTCAAAAAACTTGAAAATAAAATATTAATATTGTTTTGAAACACTTTAAAATTATTACTAAAACAAGTGTTTCAACAGATCTTAAGCCATTTGAAGAATAATATTGTAAAGAGAATGTCATAATAAAGAGACTTCTTATTTTTTATAGGATTATTGTGAAGACAATCTTATAAATTCATTAATAATGTAGCTAATTTTTATTCCAATATAGTAACATTTATGAAATAAATCCATGATAACACTATATATAATTAAAAGTAAATCTCTATGCTTTATTGATAACAATTATGTTTCAAATAAATAAAATTAATAATTTTCAAGTATGTTTGTTTATTAAGATAATATGAGTTAAAATATATGTATTATTAAGTTGGATTTAATAATTAAATTTATAGAATCAAATATATTAATAGTAATGTATTCATATATTCTATATATAAGAAATATAATTGTAAAACGAATAGCAGAAATATCAGAGATTTAAGATTAGATCTTTTAAACTAAATGATACTTTAATATAATTGTATTTTATATAATACTTATTCATTAGCTAGATGAATTGATTTCTTCTACTCTGGTAATTGAATTAGCTGATGGATTCCATGGACTAATTTAAAAAGAATTGATTACACAACATATTGTTAAACTTCAAAAACTCTTTTGGTATCCTCTTTTGCATATTAGACAAGAACTTTATAGTTGATTCCTGCTACAACTTGAGTTGTTACTTGAAGTAACTTTTCATATTGATATCCATCTTTAGATAAATTATATTTATCTTCAATAGCATCCAAAGTGGATTTGATAATATTGTTGTTTTATTGTTCAAATTCTTCTAAAGGTTACTAGAGAATATAATTATATATTACTTTAATCCATCCACCTGACATTTATTTATCTTACAAACTTGTTTAATGTTCTTGAATAATTTAGGACAATTTGTGTCTCAATCCAATAGTTTCAAGACTACAATTGGCAAAACAAAGGATTAAACCTATAAATAATATTGCTTTCATTAAATAATAATAATAATAATAATATATTACAATTAATAATTACATAAATTCATTCAATTTGTGGGTATAAGACCATCATAATCAGCAATCAAATACATAATACTAGCAATGGCAATAACATTATCATCCATATCATCAGCATTCATCATCCATATGGAATCTCCAGCAGAATGATGATATGTGAAATAAAAGTCATGAATATCATTATCTACTACTTTATTGTTCAAAACAGGAGTTCCTGTAACACTTCTTAATGCTCCACTATCAGCTGACATTCCAGCATTAGGATATATTTTCTCAACTCCAATTTCAGTCAAATACTCTTAAGCTAAAGAAATAACAAAATCTCTAAACTACTAAAATAATGATATACGTGAATTTTTCTCCTGCTGTAACACCAAAACCATATGGTTAAGTAGATCCAAAATCAGATTCAAAAGCAACAATATGATTTTCTTAAGAATGAGTTTTTGCATAATATTGGGCACCATTATTAGCCATACCCATTTCTTCTCCACTCCAAGCTATAAATCTAATGGTTCTTTTAGGTCTTATTCCTAAATGTTTCAATACTTTCAAAGCTTCTAGACATACTAATACTCCAGCACCATCATCATTAGCACCTGTCTAAGATCCAACATCCCATGAATCCCAATGACCACCCATCAATAAGATTTGATTTGGATATTTAGATCCTCTAATTTCTGCCAATATATTATCACTTGTTGTTTTATATTATATTCCACCCGTTTTAATTTCAATCACAACTTTCTAGCCTCTTTATCTCATTCTATCTATCATATCTGCATCTTCAACTGTAATAGCAACAGCTGGATATTTGATATCTTAATAGTTTGTCATTCCCTTTATTTTATACTCAATAATCATACTGTATGTGGTGATGAAATAGAAACACTTGCAACACTCCTTATAATAGTTCCTATTGCACCTGCATCTTCTGCTATCTTTGGTCCATTTATTCTAAATTATAAACCAGAAGAATATCCTTTCCATTCATAATTAAAACAAACTATTTTCCCCTTAACATCTATAGATTTTAATTCCTCAAAAGAATGAACTACTTCAACTTCTGCTTTAATAGTTCCTGCTGGACTCCACCCTAAACCAATCATATTTAATTTCTATGGGTACTATCTTGGATCAAATAATGTCACACTCTCTTCTCCTCTTTTCCATGATGTGATTTCTCCTAAATTCTCTTTCCAAACCCTATCAAATCCATAACTTTGTATCTCTTCAACTAAAGCATCTACTGAATCAGCCATATCTTCTGAACCCCACATTCTAGGACCAAATGTATCTACATAATATGTCAATTGATTGTATGATGAGTGATACAATGGTGAATGGGGATTTTTTATTGTTTCTCTAATTTACTATATATCTACAAGAGAATAATACTAAGATCTTTTGTTATTTTATTTAATCTTTCCTGTTTCTAAGCATATATGCATTTATGCTTAAATATAAAACTAAAAATATGACAATTTTCATTTATCAATTATATAAATTAATGGAGAAATAATAATATAATATTATAAAATAAAACTATTTATAGAAACTTTTACCGAATTTATTTCTATATTATTACTAATTATTAAACATGATTTCTAACATTTTTAAACCCAAAAAATAACAACTCATACAAGAAAGTCAATAAAACATCACTCTAGGTAAATTAGTCAAATTTTCTCACTATGAAACAATCTTCAAATATTCTTTCTTCGTGGTTTTATGTAATTTAGAAATTTATCGGTCATAGTTGTTATTTCATTATACAGTCTTGATGTCATTCAATTTTAACAATTCCTTAAAGAAAAGAACCTTAGAAGATTTGATTGGACTGATCTAAAGTGGTTGGTTATTGGATTAATACTAATTCATGTAACTTTAATTCTTTATAAATTAAGATCACAAAGATAATCAATGGATATTTGGTATTTGATTATGTCTCAAAATCATTAGATAAAAAATATATTGGTTTGGATAGATAGTTAAGAGTTTAAAAAATAATTAAATGGATTTATGATACTTTTTATTATTCCGTAGTTACTATATTTGCATATATAGTTTTTAGAGATGAAAAATGGTTTCCTAGTCAATTAGGAGGCACTAAATTTACAGAAACCATGTATGATTTCCCTAATATGCCTGATGTACAATTTTAAATAATTTCTAATAGAACCCTTGGGTACCATTCTATTATATGATCTAAACATCAAGTCATATTCATGCTCTATTGTTATTGATGATCCATGGTACAAAGATAGAATTGAAATATTGGGAATATTTACTACATCATTTTCTAGCAGTAAGTCTGTTATATTTTTCAACAATTTATAATTGCGAAAGTATTGGAATTGTTGTTTTGATACTTCATGACATAAGTGATATCTTTCTGGCATATGGAAGAACCTATGCTGATATTGGAAAGAATAAAATTCTTGTTTATTTGAGTTTTTCAGCTATTCAAATTTCTTGGTTATACACTAGAGTCTATGTATTTCCTATTAAAATATATGATATCATAGTAAATCATCCTGGATTTTCACTTTACTGGTATTATTACAATATTATAATAATAGGGAAAATACAAAACATGCTTTGTTCAATCAAGTAGGATTAATGATAGTTCTATTTGGAATGCACATTTATTGGACAATATTTATGGTTAAAGTAGGTATTGGAATCTTTTCAGCAGGTAAATATAAAAATGTATATGATAACAGAGAAAATAAATTAGATAACAAGAAGGAAAATTGATTAATAATAATAAATATAGATATATATTTAATAATTGTATGTTTATATTTTATCATTACTTCTTTCTTGGTTTTTGGCCAAATTAAGTTACTGTGAAAAATGCAAATAGAATATAGGTTGTTAAATTAAAAATGTAACTAAGATTATTAATATAATTAATTACTATACTGATCCATAGAATCTTAAATTATCTCTTACATTCATCAATTAAAATCCTACTCCAAAAGAATTGAATAATGAATTTACAAAATAAAATCTTACAGATCTGAAAAAGATATTTTTATCCCAAATTTTTAATACATTTGTATTCTATCCAAGTTTATGGATATATTTATTGATCATTCCAATTAAATTCCAATGGAAGAAAGAAATATAATAACCTGGATAAAATCCATGCCAAAATGCTGAGACTGCAAATGTTATTAATTGAGCTTTTTATGATTTAGCTGCACTTGATTTTAATACTGATTCAGGATACACTCTCAAATAAACATATTTCTTTAACCAAACTTAAACTGAAATATTCCATAATTCAATTTTATCTTTTGGATTTGTAGTCAAATCTATTGTAGGATCAATTGATCTAATTCTTAACCATCTATCTTTTCCATCTTACTATCCATTATAAGTAAAACCAGCAGCAGCTAATCCACTTTCAGAGAATAACCATCCTGAAACATATTTTGTTCGATGTAAAGTAATAGTTAAATTTAACCATAATATCTTGTATAATAAACATGCCTCTTCATATTCTGTAGATAATAAAGATTCCAAAGACCATCTTGGATATACAACAACAATGAAAAAACTATATATTAATGCATTTCTAAATAAACGGAATGTTTCAGATAATGTACTTGGAATATTCTAATATACATTAGTCCTTTTAATAAAAATATCATAATCGTAATAATCAAAAGAGGGCTAAATATTAATACATTTATCTTACTCCAGCTAAACATCCACAAAAGAAAAACATAAATCCAAAATAATCTGTATATGATGGCATTTTTGATAATTTTCTTTCTTTTTGATCAGAATTCAAATCTTCATCTTTTCTTAAACCATCTTCATAATTATATGCAAAAGATGTCCATTTTACTGTATTCATCATTAATATTGTTGTTATATCTAATTTCCTATTCATTATTCATATATTTACCATCCACCATAATCAGTATATTGTCTATAAATATGATGTACTGCAACATAAATCAATGTTTCATAAAATACCCATTTTGCTTTTATACCAATTTTATTCAATGAAATTCGCTTAGTCATTTCATACACAATGATATTCTATATAATTACACTAATCAATTTTTCCTAGTATAACATATATGATAATAGCAAACCAATAGTCAAACCAAAATATTTTCTTAATTGAGCACCTAAAGTTGTTTCATAATTTAATCTAAATACTCTTTAATGTTTTAAATAGAAAGCCTAAAGGTATTGTGATTATGAATCCAAACACCATTCTAGCTTGATCTTCTGGTAGACCAATCAAACCTCCAAGCCATTCAAAAAATGAAAGGAGCATCACTATTTAAATTAATATATTAATTAGAAAATATCTGTCTAATTTAATATGTATTTTTATAGATTTACTATAATATTTATAGTTTATTTATAAATTTTACATATATCAAAATGGATGTTCCTTTAAATAATTTCAAAGGAGTTATGTTATGCAATAGGCCAAATGAGAATGTAATGATAGTAAAGGAAAAGTATCATTAAGAGAATTATTCAGACCATTCTGTTCAAGAGTCTAACCTTATGATTAATGGGGATTGACAAAAAAGTATGAAGAACCAAAAGTTGTTGTACCTCAAACTAATCCTGTATTAGAGAGACATAAGAAATGGTTGGAGGAATTCAAATTATAAAATTAGATTAAGAAACATGCTAAAGAAGAATTATAAGCAAGAGAAGATGAGAAATTCTTAAGAGTTAGAGAATTAGCAAAGAAAGATAGAGAAGTAACTAAAAAAATGAAGGAAGATTATAAATAAATGAATGAGATTATTAAAAAAGAATTATCAGAAGAAATACCAAAAAGTAAAACGTAATATAATTATAATATTAATTAAGTGTAGCATTAACAGCAGAGAATCTTAAAAAATTAGAAGAAAAAGATACTAAATCTGATAGTAAAACAGGTGATAAAAAGAAGAGATATAAAACAAAACCTGTATGGGCAATGACTAAAGAAGTATTTAATAGTTATAAATATTAAATGTTAGGAAGAAGAGTAACATGTGAAAAATGAAGAAGATGAACTCTTAAATTTTGTTGAAAATTTAGATTATGATTCATATATTAATGATTTAGAAGTAATTAATTATAATTATTTAGGTTAACGTTATGCTCAAAGCTCTATAATAAAGAATTACTGAAATTAAAAAATAAGAGTATTAATAAGAAAAATCAAATATTCAACCAGAATAAAAGTAAGAATAAAGAGAACCTGATATTTATGATAAAATTAGTTAATCTTTAAGTAAAAATGATGAAGCAAAATCTGTTCATTCAGAAAAGACATAAAGTAATTATAATCTTTAATTTAGATTCAATTAATCAATTAAAAAAGAAATAAGAATTAATAGAATAGGGTAAGTAAGATTGGGATAAGACAACTACAAATGGAGATTAAAAAGCATCATTGGAAGATAGAATTGCAAAACATGTTGCTGATGAAATTCTTAATCAATATAAAGTATAGATAGCATGTATTAGAATCTATCAAATATACATTCCAACTCTTCAATCAGAAAAATATTAGAAAGAGAAGCCAAGAAGACTCTTCTAGAGACTGGTTTACCTGGACCTGTTATTTCAGTAATAAAAAATGAGAAGATGCCAAAAGATCCAAATACTTTACCTTACTTACATCGTAATCCAGCCATTTGATTTTATAATAAAGCAATTTCTATATAAATAGAATTTTGTTATTATAATTAATTAAGGAATTATAATAAATCTTTTGAGATATTAATAAAATCAAATTTCTTTTTAATTTAATTCTTCTTCTTGATTATCATAATTTAAAATTTAATCTTCTATATGAGGAGTAAGTGATGTGACTAAAGGAGCATCCCCATATTAAAGTACTCTAACTGTAATGTTAAAGTTTTCTTCATCTTGTAAAACAGATGATTTTGAATCTTATTATTAAGCAAATACTTCTTCAAATCCTACCTTTTTATTATTTTACTATCTCCTAAAATAAACAGCTAATAACATAACAAATAATCCAAAAAAAGAATAATACATCAATGCAAATACTGCAACTTAAGAATTATATCTTTCCATCAAAAATCCATAAATTGATGGTGCAGGTAAGAAACCAAACAAATTTTAAAACATAGTTGTACTTGAATTTGCAAATGCCTTCAAATGTTTAGGAACTGAAGAAAGCATAATTCCCATTAATGGTGGTACTATTGCTCCTCCAAAGAATAATAAAAACCATAAACATAATGCTCCAAACCAAAATGTCACTGTAAAAGGTACTGGAGCAGCACTTAAACAACAAAGGGAACAATATAAGACACACACATATAATGATTTAGTTCTTTAGTATCCACCTAATTTCTATGCTATTAATCCTCCTGTAATACATCCAAATACAGGAGCAGTTATTGATACTATTGCAAATACAATATTCACTGTTTATTTCTCTTAATGCATTTCATGAATCATATAGTCTGTCATCCAAAATTAAATACCAGTTACAATAAAATACAATATGCTTATAACAATTGTACAGCATAACCATAATTTTATAGAATATAATTCTTTCATCATTTACCAATAACTTTTTTTTGAAGTTTAAGCAAGAAATGATTATTCATCATTGATTGATTTACTTCCTAATTTGCTTTTAGTACTTTTTTTTATATCAAAGTCCTAATTTCTAACAAAAATAATGAAAATAGTTGCACAAGCAGTTAACATGATAACTTAAATGTAAAATGCTGCTTACCATTACCATAAACTAGAAATAACACTTGATAAAGAGTATCCAACAAATATACCAAGTGGAATTACTCCTTGTAGAATTGTAATCCAAATTGTTTTTGATTCTCCACCAAAATTATCTACCCAAACAGGAAAATAAATCATCATAGGTGCCTTTTTTTAATACAATTAAATACTTTTGAACAACCTGTGAGGAATCTAAAAATATAAAATGGCCAACTTGATCCATAATTTAATGGAAATAAGGTTAAGGAAGATATCATTCCAATATAACTAAACATGACTATCATTTTTGAATTGAAATGCAGAAACAATTTTCCACCAAACAAACAAATTAAAGTGACACCTGCATAAACTTATGATCCTAAATAACCTAATTATTCTGAAGTTAATTCAAGAGATTCTTCTATCTATTATATTGCTTAATAAAAAAATAGATAATACCTGCTGGAATGATACCTTAGTCTAGATTAATAATTATATTTGTGCAAAGTAGCAAACAAAAAATCCACTTTGGTTTAATTTCCATATGTTATTTTAATGAATGTTACGTCAGCAAAAAATGAATAACTATTTTTGATTAAATAGAGTACAAGAATTTTAGGAAATTAAGAATTATAATATAATTCAGATAATTCTAAGAATCAACCACAATAAAAAAAGTTAAAAATAAAAAACAATCATTTATTTATAACATTAAGTTAAATGTATATAATAAATAATTAAAATCATAACTTAATATGTAGATTATATCAATATTTTAACTTAGTTAATTCTAAATAAAATTATACCTTGAATAATCATTATTTATTTTATATCATATGAGTAATATATTCTTTTTAAGAATTATTTTAATGTAAAATTAATAAAATGTAAATTTTTTATACAGAATAATAAAATAAAATTTGTGGAAAATATTTTGATACTCAACAAAAATATAATTATTGATTATGATAAATTATAATCATATAAATTTTATATCAATATCAATTATGGAATTCAACCATCTACACTACTCAAGATGATTGAATAATTTTCATATTTAATATAGATTATCTACTTTGATGTGTTCTTTAAAGAATTTTCATTTCTTCTGACTCATTAAATTAGATAACTAAAACATATTATGATTAAAATATTATATCTCATTTTTGCATTTAGATAGGAAATAGTTTGAAAACAATTAATTATATAACGGGGGTTATCATTTTGATATGATAATTTTCAATAAACCTAAGAGAAATTCCACTTTTTCTTAATTTCTATAAATTATTTTAACGGATGCTACATCAATTTTAGGAGTTGGAAAAGCTAGGTTCAGGGTCGTTCAGTGAGGTTTGGAAGGTATTTAAGATTATGTAAATAGGTAACAAGGAGAGCTGACCATCAAGTTTATGCAATGAAGAAAATAAAAATGGGAACTCTTAATGAGAAAGAGAAATAGAATGCTCTAAATGAAATTAGACTATTAGCTTCTTTGAATCAAGAGTTTATTATAGGATATAAAGAGGCTTTTTATATTGATGGTATTGTTCTTATGCATATTAAAGAAACTTAAACTTTGGGTATTATAATGGAATATGCTGATGGAGGAGATGTTGCAAAATAAATTACAAATAAAAAGAACAAGAATTAAAAGTTTTAAGAATAAGATATTTGGTAAGCCCTGATATAGATAACACAGGGTTTGAAAGAATTACATGAAAAATTGATATTTCATAGAGATGTTAAATCTGCCAACATTTTTATCTAAAATGGAATCTATAAATTAGGAGATTTAAATGTTTCAAAAATAGCCTAAAGAGGTCTATTATACACTTAGACAGGCACTCCATGTAATTTTAGTTAAAGTAAATTGAGACTATGCATCACCTGAAATTTGGAGAGATGAACCATATGACAATAAATCTGATATCTGGTCCTTAGGGTGTGTTTTATATGAAATGTGCAATTTACATCCTCCGTTTCAAGCATTAGATATGGAAGGTCTGTATAAAAAGATCCAAAAAGGAATGTACCCTCCTATAAATGGGTATAGTAATTAATTAGTTTAATTAATTGGTTAAATGTTGAGGCTTAATGCTTCAGCTAGACCTAGTTGTGATTAGATTATAAATAGTAATTTAATGAATTCTGATTTTAGTAGATTGTACATCAAAACACCCTCTATAGCTATTAATAAAAGAATGATGAAAACTATTTAACTTCCTAAAAATCTTAGTACACTTAATGATATATTACCAACAAAGAAGTATTATAATGAAAATAAAGAAAATGATAATGAATCAGTTAGATATAGTGTTTAATCTTCAAAATTAATGCCATTAAATAGAAAATCAGTTAATAATTCTTGTATTGAATATGAGAAGAGATTCTATAGAATTGCCTCAGTTCATGAAGAAATATTACCAACTCTGCCATCTGAATATAGATAACCAAAAGTTGTAACAAGAAGAAGACCAAGTAGTTAATATAAAGAAGAGGAAATAAATTTAGAAAGAAGAGCTGAAGCAATTGTCTCAAGAAAATAGTTACAAAAATAATTATCTGAATAACACCCATTACCAAAACCTATATTAAAGAAATAAATGAGTAATCTACCTTATTTATACAGAAATGTCAATGATTCAGAAAGATAAGAAAATAATAAATCCAAATATCATTAATCTCCTAATAATTATGCTCGTAGGAATATTAGAAAATAAATAACATCATAATAATGATTACTATTTTAAATTGTAAACAATATATTTTTAAGATCATATTTTATAATATCAATAAAAAATTTTAATTATAATACGTCATTATATAAATAAATCTATTGATATTTTAATGATAAAATTAAAAAAATTTTTTATTTATATATCCCATCTAACTTTCTTAACAATAATAAAATCATTTGTTCAATAAGTAGAATTCAAATTTATTAAGAAATATCTTCTTTCAATATAAAATGCTTTATATTATATTATTATTAAGTATATGCATTTGATAATAATGAGTTCATGTTTATTAGCTATTATTGAATTTAATCCAAATAGTTCAATTAAAGTTGATCGTTCTCAAAAAAGTGATCCTTATTATAAAATCAGGTTTATTATTGAAGGTGATCAAGATAGTATATTAATGAGAAATATCAATTATTTAATCAAGATTTAATTATAATAAGGATAGATAATTTGTGAATTTAAAAAAAAGTTTGAATTTTAATTTATTATTTTTCAAGTGATAACAACATTTCATTAGAAATTTAATTTAAAATTTCCAAAATAAATTGCAGAAAAAGACAATCAATTTTAATTAGTTATTTTATAAATGATTGCAAATATTAATAAAATAGGAAAATCAAAGAAGAATACTCTTATTAGAAATTTTGCAATTTAATAAAATTACTAAAATTAATAATAATTTGTTATACATGATAAACTCAATTAAGAACTAATTTAAACAATAGTTGGAATTACTTTAGGATAAGAAGTACAAAAAGCCTGCTTTTGAAGCTTATAATATGAATAGAGCCTTTATCACATTGGATCAAGCATTTGAATATGTTGGAGACAATTCTAAATATCAATAGAGGATCACATTATTATTATGCATACAGTTTTTGTTTTATTCATTTTTTGTTATGGGTATGCCCTATTTATTATAAAATCCCTCCAGATATTGCACTGATGGGATTTGTATTGAATATCCTAATTGTAACAATAGAATAGATAGTTTAATTGGATTTGACAGTATTGCAAAAGAATTTGGATTATTTTGTAATGGTAGAAAAGCCTTTATAGCAGCATTATTTTTTGTTGGTTAAATGTTTGGAGGATTTACATTTCCAATATTAGCAAATATTTTTGGAAGAAGAAAAATTTTATTATTTGGAATGAGTTTAGGTTCAGTATCAATTTTTGTAGGGTCACTTTGCGAGAGTTTATTATCTCTTTATACTTTATTCTTTATTGCAGGTTTTGGATTGAGTGGATATGAGACTGTAGTTTATGTTTATATTACTGAAATAAGTGCATTAAGATTTAGATCTATTGCTAGTTCTTTATTAATTGTTATATGGAGTTCTTCTATGTTAATATATCCATTTATTGTTGATATTTTATAATCATGGAGACTTTTAATGATGTGGAGTATTGGAGTTCCTCTATTAGTAACAGTAATATTGGATTATTTTTACTTTGTTGAATCACCTAGATGGTTAATTTCTAAATAGTAATATGATGAATGCAGAAAAGTATTTAGATTTATGAGTATTTTTAATAAAAGAAGACCATTTGAATTCAATTTTATGGAAGAATTAGATAAGTTCAATAGCAGATGTGTAAAAATAGCATCTGTTAAAAGAGTGGAAACTTAAGTTAATTTAACACAACAATCTAATTAGAATGTAGGATATTGGGAATTAATGAAAAGATCAAAATTATTAATATAAACTTCTATTCTAGTTTAAATGTGGTTTTTGAGATATTTTACTTATTATGGTTTATAATTTTCAGTATCTACATTTGGAATATCAATGACAACTACATTAAGAATGTTGGCTTTAGTAGAATTAACAACTGGAATGTCAAGCTGTAAGATTATATTTATATTATAAATTAGTATATTTTAAGTTGAAATATCCTAGAATCATTTCATTATAGTTTTGTTTACTTACAATGATATTGAGTGCTACATTAGCCTATATTGATGTTCCATCAGAATGTTTAGGTTCTTTATGTTGGCAATAGATTCTTCATTTACTTAGTGCTATATTGATTAAAGCAAGCATTACTATATATAATTCAATGCTTAATACATATACAGGAGAAGCTTATGTAACAACTGTTAGATCATATGGGTATGGAGTTTGTATGACTTTTGGATAATTGGGCAGTACTTTTGCTCCTTTGTATGTATCTTATATGTAGGAAATCTATCAATAAGCAAATGCAATTACAATTGTTGGTTTATTGGCAATATTAGCTCTTGGATTGACATGGTGTGTATTAATTTTAATAAGTCTAATTTAGGTTTTTGCAAGAGACATATAAAAAGGATATGTATGACAATTTGACTGATGAAGTTATGGCAAACTAAACTATTCCCCTTATTAATCAAGATATGTAATTTGATGAAATCGAACTTTAACAATTAAGCAGATGATTAATATAATTATATTTTTTTTATGCAACAGTTGAGGAGCAGTCATTTCTAATTAGGTCAAACTGATTAAAGTATAAAGTTAATACTATATAAACTTAGAAAATCAGTTCACTTCTACAATGAAAATGAATTTCAAAGGGGATAAAGTAAATGATTAAGCCACTGGAGTTGGAGATTAATTGAATTTAAGAGGAGTTCATTTTCATTTAGGAGAGTCAAAACGTATTATTTGAATTACTATTTTAGCTTCCTATAACACAATTTTTAAAACTGATTTTTAAGGTAAACAAATAGGTGAACCTGCTACCTTGAATGAAGAAAAAAAAAATGACTTAAGAACAAATCATTTTGTACTTGGTCATCAATAGGCTTAACAAGTATCAATTACAAGAGCAACATATAATGAAAAACCACTCCAACCAGGATTATAAAATGAATAAGAAAGTAAAATGCATATATCCTAAATATGAGTACAAAAAAATAAAATGAGATCACATCATCATAATTTCGCTGAAAGTTCTCATAAAATGATGCAAACTAATTATAACTAATAATATCAACCTCAACAATTAGAACCAAAATAAGATTTAGCTGAAAGAGCAAGATAGTTAAGGGTTTCCAATATATTTCTAGGAAAGGAGGTAATTTAAACCATAAAATATTTTATTAGTAAGTTCCCATGATTACAGCTTAACAAGAAGACTATAGTAAGAAAGAAGGAGGAGCTTAAGCTTCATTTAAACCAGGATTTTAATCAACTCATTTTAATTTTGGTAATGCTAATCCTGATTTTAAAACAATGAATCAAGAATTCTTTCATCAATAAGAAATAACATCAAATCCATTTGCAGAAGAAAATAGATAAAATTTAAGAGGTTATATTATTTAAAATTGTTTTAGCAACTCATTTTACTCTTGGAAAAGATAATTAACCATATTAATCTGAATAAATGTCACATTTCAGACCACATTCAGAAAATAAAATTAATTATATTAATAATACTGCTGCTTTATAAGGAAGTCATTTTACTATTGGAGATCCAAGATTTATGAATCATAAAACTTAAACTTTCTATAATTCAACTATGAAACCACCTGAATAATAATAACATTCATAAGCAAGAGATTAATAAATGGATAGAGGATCTAATTTTAAAATTGGAACAGATAATAAATAATATAGATCAGAAATGTAATCAAAGTAATATAATTTTATGAATATTTAAGTTTTAAAAATCCATCAGGATAACCAGCTTAATTGTCTGATAAATTATTAAAAGATTTAAGATCTTCTCATTTTGGTTTGAATGATAATTTTAGTAAAAATACCTTTATGACAACTAAATAAATGGAAGCATTGAATTAATAATAAGGATAACCAAATAAGTTAGATCCATAAGCTAGTGCTAATTTAAGATCTCATCATTTTAATCTTGGTTAAACAAAAGGAGATTTAATTTCATAAACACATGATATACATAGACCATTAATAGGAAAACCTAATACATTAAATTAATAGTAAGCAAATAATCTAAGAAAACATCATTTTGCATTATCATGATATCATAAGATAATAATAATTTATGAATATCATCATCTATTATCAAGTTTAGGTGTAAATTATGATAACGTTTAATCAAAATGTATTCTTAATTTTTCTATTGCATCATTGGTTTGTATAGTTAGTTTCTCTTAAAATTATTTTTATTCCATTAATAATCTATCTTCCTATTTCTACTATTTGATTCTTCTTAATTATTCAAATGAATCTTATTTTAATTATTTTTAATTCAATAATTCTTATTCTAATATCATTACTTTTTTTCTATGATTTTCTAAATCACCTAACAACTCTGATATCATTTATTTCTTATTTTTTAGAAATAATAATTACATTGTCATAATTTTCTAGCTTAAGTTTTTAAATTTTGTCATTTGATTCATGACAATCCTTTCTATATTTTAAAGCCTTCATTTTATAATTGGGATAATCATCATCATCAGAACTTTCTGGATATTCAAGAAGTGCTTTTGCATGCTTTTTTAAGTTCATAGATATTCGTTAATAATCAATATAAAATTATATATACTATTATTTAATGTATTTATTTATCAATTTACTTAATCAAAGATCTAAGTCTTATTTCTTATTTTTCTTAGACTTTTAGTTTCTCTTCTCAATTTCTAATTTCACTCTTTCTAAGTCCTAAAATAATTATTAAATTTACTTTATCAACTTGATGAGAACCAGTTTATGTTTTTTTGGCTTTTTCTGCTAAAACCTTTTTAATATCAACTTTTTCAGATTATTATTATTATTATTATTATTATTATTATTGTTATTATTATTCAGGTTATTTTTCAGGTTATTTTTCAGTAGGAACTTAAGCTGGTTATTTATCAGCTTCCTTATTTTTATTTTTCTTCTTCTTTTTTTTCTCTTAATCTCCAGCTTATTCAGTTTCTTTTTGAGTAAACCCTAATTCATTCAAAATAGCATCTAAATCATCATTTTCTTTTTTCTTTTAATCTTTCTTCTTTTATTATTATTATTTTTCTTCTTGAGCTTATTTTTGTTTCAAAACTATTGTATAATTAAATATATATACTTTAGTATTAATCGACTTTCTCTTCTTTTGGTTATTCTTATACTTGTGTCTATTATTCAGATTAGACTTATTCTTCAGGTTTTTATTCTTCTTCATCACTTTCATACATAAGTCCTTAGAAATTGTTTTTCTATAGATATTTAAATTTTGAATACACTTGGTTTGATTCTTCGAGCCTCTAATGCTGCTTATTACTCTTTTTAAATTTATTCAGCCTATTTCTTTTACAACTCCTTGAGTTTAACCCATTCTGGCTTATGATGCTTTTGATATGGTTTTTTTGACTATTTCTTTTGTTCATTATTTTATTCTTATTCTTATTCTTATTTGACTTCTTTAACCTAATTTTCTTAAGGTTATGTTTCTTAAGCTTATGGTTGAACAATATCTTCATCATCTGAGATTTCTGCCCATTAAACATTTGCAGTGGTACTATCAGCCATTTCAAGATATAAATAATTTTTAAATATTTTACAAAGTTAATAATCAAAATCATCTAGGTACATTAGGATGTAGTGCCAATTCACGAAGATTACAATCTTCATTATCTTAAACAACAACTAAAATCCTCTCCTTATTAATCATTTATCTAATAACAGCACCAACTAATCTCTCATATTAATGAACTTATTCTTCATGTTCAATTTAATCCAATTTATTAGTAATGTACCATTCAGCTAAATCCTCCCATTTCACACCTTTAGCTTCAGTAATTTCTTCTTACATATCTCTCTCTTTCTGTATCATGAATGAAGTTAACGCTCTTACAATATCTAAATATTCATCTTAAGCTAATTGAATTTTCTATCCTTATCTTCTCCTCTCTCTTTCTTTCTACTGCAATTCTTCTTCTATGATACCCATTGCTCTAGTTTAAATAGGTTATTGTTCTTCTAAATCATCAATAAACTTGGGTGTTTCATCCACTTAAAGTATAGATTAACCTAATAATTTCTCTGCCTCTTAAACATAAGAGACTTTAATGAAATCATCACATTATACTCTAGCCAAGGCTTCTGATAATCGAATCAAAGATTCCAATTATCTAACTGTGATACGATAACTTGTTCTCTAACTTGTTTGATCATTCTCTCTTAATCTTATATAAGCTTCCTTAACATATTATGCACTTTCATAAGTTAATATTGGCTTAAATGTTCTAGCATATCTTATATATTTTCTAAGTTAATCTTAACTAAATCTTGGTTCTAAAGCACCTTCTTATTAACTATGTAATCTGACAATATGTGTAGCAATTTATTCATCCACAAATGGTCTACAAGCATCTGTAATAATGAAAAATAAATCAAATCTAGACATGATTGGCTATGTCATATTAACATTAAATTTCAAAGTCTTAGATCTATCATATCTACCAAATATTGGATTTGCTGCAGCCAAGATAGATGTTCTGGCATTTAATGTTGCTTAGATACCTGCTTTAGCTATAGAGATAGTTTATTATTCCATAGCCTCATGAATTGCAACTTAATCCTTAGAATCCATTTTATCAAATTCATCAATACAACAAATTCCATTATCTGCCAACATCAATGCTCCTGCTTCAATACAAAATTCTCCATTTTCAATATCTCTATGTACTGATGCTGTCAAACCTGCAGCACTTGAGGCTTTACCTGAAGTATAAACTGATCTGGGTAAGAGATTACAAGTAAATTTGAGAAATTAAGATTTTGCTGTTGAGGGATCTCCAACTATACATAAATTGATATCTCCTCTAATATGTACTCCTTCTTTTGTAGTCTTATATACTCCTCCCATTAACATTAATAGAATTCCTTTTTTTATATCCTCATATCCTTATACAGCTGGAGCAATTGAATTAGCTAAATTCTTGAAAAGATCTGGTTGTTTTTTCATTTCCAAAATTTCTTATTTTTCAAAATCATCAAATTGTTATCCTCTTTTAGCATCTTAATCACTCAAACTCTCTGTATATTCTTTATCATCTATTGCCTATTTTTATAAGTTAAATCTATTATTGTTAGTTTCTACACTACAAGCAATGAATACAAATTTATAACATAAATCTTTAACACCTAATTATTTTAATCCTGTAATTCCATCTTATGTTTATCCTCTCTAATTATTTCCTTAATTCTAAGTTGACATAGAACTCTTTAATCCTGGTTTACTTAAACTAAACACATCAGGAATAACAGTTAAATATCCATTAAATGTACATTTGTCTCCTGGTTTAGCAGCATCACATTTTTCATTGTGTAATATCACATCTATTGATCTAGGCATAGATCCAGCAGGAATATCTTTTGAATCTTCTTAAACTCTAACCTTTTGAAAGTCTGTAAATTATGATTTATTTAAATTTATTGTCCATTTTGATTTATTATCACATTTGATATTTGGACACTAAATTTTAAATCATGATTACCTTCTTTGGTTCTGTAAATTTAAATTATTATTCAACATTATCAATAATTCTATCACACATTTAACAAGTGAATTATGCTGACAGTAATTCAGGTCTTACTTCATAAGTACGAGTCACAGTTCCAATAAATGAAGATAATTTGCCAATTTTATTAGCCTTTAAATCTCTAATCTTTTCTGTAGCTGCTAAGTTAAAAACTGCTAAGAAGTAAAGCTTTTCTAAATTAATTTGTATTCAAAATTTACATTAATCTTCAACATCTTAATGCTATATAAACATAAATTCTTGTATGGCTCTTCTAAAACTTGGTTCAAATTGATAAAAGTCTGTTTGCATTATAATAGACAGATCTTAATATCCTTCAGTCTAAGTAATGTGAGTAAAATCTAAATTTAATGTAGTACGATCGTTATCTCTCATTATACGAGCTTCCTCGTGATAGTAATAGAAACTTTATCCTGTTTAAGGGTTGATTGTTCTAAACTCTTGTAAAAAGTGAAGAAACCGATTTTAAACCTATTGTTCGCGTGTTTCTTACATAATTTAATTATTATCCGCGAAATTATATTGAAAGCGCCAATTAATAATAAAAAATTTTTAACTATTTTTATAATCAAAATATTTATCATTTTATAATAACTTTTTATTAGATTAATGAGATATTCATTTTAAGTCTTCAATCTTAATAAAATCTTAAATTTTGCTAAGATTAAGTGAATAACTTCTCTCTATTCAAAAACAACTATTTAATATTTTTGTATTAATAATATTAATAGAGGTTCGATCCCTTGTTAATATCATTTTTTTAGAGTTAGATGCTTCCCGTCACTTTGGAGTTATGATTAATTTAATTTTAATGAATTAAGCTAATCTCATTTAGTGTTAAGTTTTGGATCCTTAATTGAAACCTCTTCTTAATGAAAATAATACTATACCATTCAATAGGAAGACATTGCTCATAAAATTTAATTCTGCAAAACTTTGTCAAGTTGTTATTAGTAACATTCATAATTACATTTTTGATTAGAATTAAATCAGAAACCTAGAAAAATTGTAGCAACTTTAAGTAATCTCTAGAACTAAATCCACAAATCAAATTAATAGGCTTTAGAATTTCATTACTTTACATGTGAGAATCAATAAGTCATTTATAATAGCTCTATTAACACAAATTAAGTAACAATGATTTGAATATGTAGTAATTCACATCTCTTCAAATTAAGATTGAATAGGATGATGTGGCGTTTTATAATATCTAATTATATGGTGAAGAAGCAATTAAAACAAAATAAAGCACTTTGGATAATTTTATCTTAAAACCTTCTTAACTTGATAATGAAAATGGTACATTCTAAAATTTTACAAATGCTCTATCATCAAATAGAGATCCAGCAGGTAGACAAAAAAAGCAAGTGAATAAAGTTGCATTGAAATAAAAATAAGAGCTTGAAGAAGCTATAGAGAAGAGTTTAAGAAGTGCTGAATATGAGAAAATGAATTAAAAATACATTTAAGAATCTAAAAATAATGTCATTTAGGAATAATATAATCAAGAATATTAATTTTAAGAAGATGAAGAATTAAGTTTAGAGATTTTGATGCAAAAAAATGATTAATAACAATATTCTTATGATAAGAAAAAATAACCTTAAGTGAGAATTGAAAATTTAGGATATACTGATAAAATAAATACAGCCTAAAAAAAAGGATATCAATAATAATGGAATAATAGTGATCCAATTAAATTAAATTTTATGACAAAGTTTAAAGTAGGTGATATTAATCAGGATTTTATGAAAATGCATTAATTAAGTAGAAGTATTTGATAATTTTTAGTGGAAGAAACTAAAGGAGTGAAGAGATTTCTAGAAAATGTGATGTATATTTGATATTATAAAATAAATAATGGCATAAAATCCTGCCATCATCGAAGTGGCGGAGAATCCAGAGGAAATCAAAAAGAAAATCAAAGCCTTACCATTGAAAGAGAAACTTAAAGCAGTGGCATTGAATTATTACTTGCAATAGAAAAAGAAATTGGATATTGAATTAGAGAAGGAAATGAAAAAACTTTAAATTCAATTTGATGAAAAGGCAGCAAAAATATATAAAGCAGTAGATATGATGAAATATCAGATAGTCAAATGAAATTATTGAAGGGACTCGTTTGCTTACAGAAGAGGAATTAAAAGATGTTGATTTTTATCTGGAAGGAGAAGAAGCAACATAGAAGAATTAGGCTTTAACAGCTGAACCAATAAATGGATATTGGTTTAAAGCACTAAAGAATTCAGATATCATAGCATAAGAAATTAAAGACAGAGATGATCCAATTTTAAAATCTCTAACAAAAATTGAATATGAACCATAAGAGAAGAGTGACAATTTTTCATTAAATTTTTATTTTGCACCTAATGATTACTTTAAAAATTCAGTGTTGAAGAAAAAGTTTATATTGAAAGGTTTAAATTATTGATTAATGTTTGAAGATGGTGAAAATCCTGTTAAAAGTGAAGGTACGATTATAGAATGGAATGATGGTAAGAATGTGACAAGAAAATTGATAAAGAAAAAACAATTAGAAAAGAAGAGTGGTATAGTAAAGACGATTTCTCAGGAAGTGGATGCAGAAAGCTTTTTTATTTTCTTTAAACCAATAAATTTAGAAGATAAAGAACAAATAGAAAAATGGGTATAAGAAAATAAATTGGATAAATATGCAGAACGTATGGATATAGATTATGATATTGCTCGTATGATAATTGATGAAATTATTCCATATTCATTAGAATATTATTTAGGAGTTAAAATTAATGATGCCTTTGATGATATTGAAGAAGTGGATGCAGAATCATCTAAAGGTAGTGATGAAGAAGAAGAAAACAAATGAGGAAATTAAAAATGAATATATAACAGTTAAATTAATTATTATAATTTTTATAATAATTATTATAATATATATTATAAATAAGATATTGAGGCTGAAATATATTACGTAATATAATGAATATTCATATCCTCGGATAAATATCTAGATATTAAATTAAATAAATAAGATTCAAATTTAATGTACGTAAAACCAATATCCTCTCTAACTCATATTGGCAGATATTATGTCCGCATCATAAAGGACTTATCAGTAGTCAAATAAATCCCAGCTGGATCAACAGTACTTGTAGGTGGTTTTGGATTATGCGGTATTCCAGAATGCAGCATCAATGCTTTAAAAGAAGCAGGCACAAAGAATCTCACTGTAGTCAGCAATAATTGTGGCACTACAGATCTTGGATTAGGATTACTTTTAAATAATGGATAATTAAAGAGAGTGATAGCCTCATATGCTGGAGAAAATCATAATTTGGCTAAGTAACACTATTATACAATCATTTATAGGTAGTACTTTGATGGAACTTTAGAATTAGAATTAGTACCTTAAGGCACATTAGCTGAAAAATTAAGAGCTGCTGGTGCTGGTATTCCTGCATTTTATACACACACTGGTACAGATACTGTTGTAGAGAAAGGAGGAATTCCCATCAAATATAAAAAGGGTGGAGACACAGTTGAAATTGAATCTAAACCAAAACCTGTAATATCTTTTTGTTTAACTGTTTTAGGTTGAATATTTCAATGGAAAGAAGTATATTAGAGAAGATTCTATTTGGGGAGACTATGCTTTGATTAAGGCTAATATGGCTGATACCAATGGTAATCTTAGATTTGTGGGAACAGCCAGAAATTTCAATCAAGACATGGTCAAAGCTGCTAAAGTTGTTATTGCTGAAGTCGATTCCATAGTACCAGTTGGAAGCTTTGGATTTGATTAAGCACACGTCAATGGAATATATGTTGACTATCTCTATTAAGGAAATAATTATCTTAAGACAGTTGAAAGACTTGTGTATGATTAAAGCGTGTATGATAAGAATAAAGGTATTATAGACATACTATTTTGTAGATATCAAGCCATAAGGAAAATAAAATGCAATAAGAAATAGAATAGCAAAGAGAGCAGCCTAAGAATTTTAAGATGGTATGTATGTGAATTTGGGTATTGGAATCCCAACTCTCATACCAGCATTTCTTGATAAAAGCATGACAATTCATTTTCATACAGAAATAGGTGCAATTGGAGTTGGTCCATATCCTAAATTAGGCTAAGAATTAGGTGATCTTTAAAATGCAGGAAAAGAATCATGCACTTTAAATTCTGGTGCCACTACTTTTGAAAGCAGTGAATCATTTGGAATAATCAGAGGAGGACATTTAGATATGACAGTATTAGGAGCTATGCAAATAACAAAATAAGGAGATATTGCTAATTGGGTTATTCCAGGAAAGATGGTGAAAGGAATGGGAGGTGCAATGGATTTAGTTGCTTCTGGATCTAAAGTACTGGTTGTAATGGAACATACTGCTAAAGGAGAAGTTAAATTTGTTAATCAATTATAATATCCAGCAACAGGTATGAACAAAGTTAGTCAAGTTATTACAGGTATTAAATTTAATAATTCTGTTAGACAAGGCTGTATTTGTTAAGAGAGATGGACAATTGGTTTTGACAGAAATCTCTAGCGACACTACTCTTGAATGGGTCAGAGCCAATACAGGATTTGAATTAACTGTAGCTGATGATCTAAAAACATTCTAAGTTTGATACAATATAATAATATATTAATTATGGTTAAATAATAAAAAAAATCGAATATCACTGTTATTCCTCCTCAACCAGATTTCTAAGAATAAGAAATTGAATTATTATAAGAAGATCTCAATGATGATTTAATTAAGACTTTATCTAAAGCAAACACTAATTCAATTGCCACAATTGTATAAATTTATTTATTTACTTTTAGAAAGAAAAAGAGAAAAAGGTTGTGGAATTCAAATCAAGAGTTCTTGAATTAGTTGAGATTTTTGTTTCAAATACTAAGAACCCATCAATTTTTATTGAGAGAATTTATCCATTCATTAAAATGATTAGTGATTTCAAGAATCCTTAAAAAATTTAGTATATCAATAGAGTTTGTAAATTAATACACTAAATCATACAAAAAGGAGATTTGGGAGAGCATATTGATAATATGAAATAGTGTTGTGAAACATTAATAACTTATTTACATAAATGCTAAGACAAATCTATTAATAAAAGATTCTTTGAATTACTTGATCTTATTCTAAAATAGATATCATAACATGATAAAAAAGCTGTTTCAGATATCATAGTCAAAGGTTTAGTGTTAATGAGAAAGAACAGCAATATTTAAATGCAAAATATTAGAAAACTAATATTCAATTATTAATTTACACTCATTCCAGTCATACTTAAATTATGTCAATTAAGTGAAATTAATGAGAATTATGAAAGAAGCAAATATAATGTATATTATACACTCATATAATTTAGTTTAGTCATCTTTTATTCACACTCATTTAGAATGAATAGATAAAGAAAAAGATAATATCTAAAGACAAAGTCAAACAAGCAATTGTTAAATTAGCTTAACATACTCTAGAGAATTATGCTTAATAGAATTACAAAAGAGTAGCAATTTTTAGATAAATTCTATTGTCATACAAAACATTAGAATTAAATGAACTATAAGAATAGATTTAAACATTCTAATCCGAAGATTAAAATATCTAACACATCATTACCAAATTAAAATGAGTATATTATTGTATCAAATAATCAATTTCTTCTGATATAGTGAAACCAATTATCTATTTATCTCCAAGTGTCATTAAGAGATATGATAATCTCTTATTTAAATTTTGCAGTTGCTTCTTAATCAGATATATTTAAAGCCAATTAATCTTCTATATATTTTACATTTGAAGCCTATTACAATTCAGGCATACCAGCAGATAAATTCATTAAAAATATATTAATAAGAAAATGACCATGTTTTCTGACTAAATTATAAGCATTAGTACAATCCTACTAAAACTTTTTAAAAAGATCTCCATCTCTACCTCCCATAACAAATGCCATCTAATGTTAATCAATATTAATACTTCTTCAGTTAACACAAACTTAGTTCTCTCTCTTTTAATTCCAAACTTCTATTTGAAATTCCCCAAGAAATGGCCAAAATCAATATGAAATAAATGACCAGTGTCTGTTATCATAATGTTACCTGAATGTCTATCTCCAATTCCAAGAACATAAGTTGCAACACAATAACCTGCACAAGATCTAAGAAAATTATCAGTAGCAGTTTCAAATGATTGAGGCTCACTATTTTTCTTTTTCAAATGATTCCATATAGTTTTTTATTAAAATGCCCCCATAAGACCTCCTTAACCATGAATTTTCTCAATCGTCAAAGAATTGCTAACAACTTCAATCATTCCCACATTGTCTTATGTAGATATAGTTTTATAAGGTTTCATTCTAAAATCTAAACCATCATCTAACCATATTTTATCCATAATTTTTATTAATTATAGTGTTAACATATCTTATCTAATATCATCACCAGTTTTAAAAATGATTTTAAGAAGATGTTATTTATTTTACTCTTCTTCTTCAATTTATTCTTTTTATTCCTTTTAATCCTATTATTATTTAGTATTATTATGTAGATTTTCATCTTATGGTATGATGACTGAGATATTTCCATTAAGATTTTCTTCTTGTTATTTTATGTTGATTGGTTGTTATAATTATAATTCATCATCATTTTCAAGACATTTAGGTATTACAGCTAGCCATAAAGGCATTTTCTTAGAATCCATAACCTTACATTTATCATATTAGATTGATTATGCTTCCATTCTTGAATCTAAAGCAAACGAGAATGGTTTTGGTAATTTTGGATAAAGTTACAATAATTCTGTTTTCAAATAATGTTAGCGTAAATCTTTGGGTATATTTTCTTCCTTG